TGTGTGAAATGCGCTAGACTGTACTACTGTCCTCTCATTCTGCACCAGTACAAATACCTGCACGCGTTGCGCATGTGTTTTGCTTGCTTCATGAGTGTTTCTGCATTATATGAGTGGCTTTGGAAAATAAATCGCTGCACATTTCAGATGAAAAAAACGCGACTTCTATTTATGAAAATATCACAGTTAGAGGAGATTTCTAGCGAGTGGTTCCCTGCATTTTTACAGCAAATCGCGTGATTACAGTACTAAGCCGCTGCAATGGAGTAGCTCTAATGCTATTAAATTAAAGATGATGTACCATAGAGAAAAAAAGTGAAAGTAACAAAAGTAACAAAAGGAATACATTTTAATGGGCATAATTAAGTGTGAAAATAACAGAAGGATATACAGTGAAACCAAAAATTATTCAGAATACAAATGATATATTACACCATATTAGGAACTACAGTCTATTTGATTAAGTATGACGTCTTGTCGCAATTTTGCGACTTTGGCGCTAAGAGGGTTAACTCCGAGTTCTTGTTATATTTTATTACCATGTTCTAAACTATAGTGAATAAACTGTGATAATGTGAGAAATGTTGAAGGTGTCTGAATAAATTTAGGTTTGACTGTATCTATTTAATAAATAAAGTTAACCAATTAACATTATACATACTCTTTTGGTTTCTGTACCCAATATTTAAAAAATTTACAAATGCAATAAAAATATTGGTATCGGTACTCGGTATTGGCAAGTACCAAAAATAAAAGTATCGTATCGGGCGAGTACTGGAAAAAGTGGTATCGGTGCATCCCTACCAAATACATTAACATTATCATATCCATCACCATGCTAATATGTTCCGAGAGTTGTCATGATTGAACTGGTTTTAAAATCACATGAAATCAAAACTGACCCCACATAGCTACCTTTCTGGTCTTCTTGTGTATGACTCATTGATCAATACTGATAGAACGGGAAAAAAAATTTTTTGTAATCCTTCAAAATTTAATATCTGGCTTCACTTCTGAAACAATGTTACTTTTCAGGTGACATCTCAAAGCCCTCTGATTTTTTAACCCCTCCCCCAAAGTCACTTGTCACAAAGACATTTCATAATCCAAGCAATTCTTAAAGGGACAGTTCACCCAAAAATGAAAATTCAGTTGACTTTCTTTAGGCCCTGATTTTGCTGTGAGAGGTGCCATTTTTAAACTGTTTTCTATTGGCAGTGAGCATTTTGCACTATGTTTATGTGCCCCGGGCGCCTCACATTTTAGCCACCTGCTGCGCCTCACGTTTTTGCAGGAGCGCTCTGAGCGCCTGAAGTAGAAAAAAACAACAACTCTGAGCAGAAAAGCACCCAACGTCGTTCGCGTTTTTTTCCCATTGTCCGATCGAACGAATGGAGAGGCGGGCCTTCCACTGTGGTGACGAAAGTTTACCGTTGCTTAGAGAGTCCGGAGACAGCAATGATGGAGAAAAAGGAGAAACTTTTGGTGTCTGTCGCGGGTTACCCAGAGCTGTATTTTTTAGGGTTTTTGCTAATATGACTTAACAGCTAAAACCAAATATTTTAGAGCACTCACGCTATAATCCTTCGATTAGACTGACAGGACAGCTGATCTGGTGATTGCCTAGCAACATAAAAATCTGCAGCGCAACGCTCTTTTTTTAAAAGTCACCAAAAAAAAAGGTAGTGCGGTGCACCTCGTGACCTAACGTGACCTGCTTTTTTCCTTCTCATTAAATACATAATTTCACTCATAAATATGTGAAATTAAAATGAATTCAAATGAGTCGCTAATGCCATTTCATGTTCATTAGCACCCAAAACACTTATGTATGATACCTAATGTGGCCATGCCAACAGGCAACTGTGGAGAGAGACGAGGATGAGGAACAAGTCAAATTGTTGATCTCCAGTAATGCAACAAAGACATGGTACAAACCGACTGTAAACAAATGACCTTCAGCTCACCCAAGCAGCAGCCGCCAGATTTAAGATCGAATTTATCAGACTGTTACAATATTGGGGTCGACACACACAAGCTCCCCACATCCCAGTGCAAATCCCTGCCGCCTAAAAATGCAAACCTTCACAAGTGTGAGTCAAACTCATCCATGCATGCTCTGACAGAGACAAAGCACCCTGAGGAGAAATAGAAGAAAAACATAAGAGGAAAAAAAACATGAAGCAGAAATAGATCTTTAAAATGGCACTGACACAGGCCGAGGCTTATGGCGGAGCAGTTGAAACGTTAAGTAACCATCACTCGGACAGAGAGATACATTTTGGTGACAAAAAGCCAGACAGATTTGCAGAATCGTACCACCTCCTTCTGGCAGAGAGCTTTTAATTCATTTTCCATCAGACTGAGCATAATGGAAGTTCTATCAGTAAGTCTAGGCCTGTCATAAAAACAGACTACAGTAGGAGAGTGTCCGTGTGTCCCCTGTACGCGTACCTCACTGTCTGATAGGGTGAAATAAGACATTGTGAGCACTTAAAGCCTTTAGTCTGAAGGACAAAGATGGCATAACACAGCTGTGTAGCAAATAAATTGTCAGCAAACAAGTTGCATTTGCAAGTTGCAATGTGAAAAATCAGGAACATTAAGGTATTTGAGGAATGTCAAGGCCTCTTTTTAATATTCCCTGAAGAACGTTTATGCCAAATTATGTAGCTTCCTTAAAGTTTTTATCACTTAGCGTGCCGATGTGTGCCATAAGAATCCATTCTTGAACGGCCAAGAGGGAAGAGCGAATGCTTAGGCAGACAAATTGAAACACTAATTGCACATTACAGACAGATCAGAGGCCAAGCAGTTCAGCTAATGGGATGAAACAACAGATCTGATAGAGATGAAGAACCACACAACCCAAGACGCTGACAGGCACTGATTGGTTGTATCTTTCTCTGAAAGGTTCCGCAGAGCAACTTTCTCATCACTGAAAAGGGTATACTCACACTGAAGTCCTTCCAAGAAAAAAGGCTAAGGGGTTTCTGGAGAAAACAGCTCTTGTAATTCAGGTTTCATTTTAACAAACAAGATGTTTCACCATTAGCTATGTACAACCATTTCAAAGTCCAAAAGTATTCAGATAAAGAAAAATAACAATTAATCCTTATTAAAAATTGTACATTATAAATACACGCTACAAAAACTTCAAACGTTTGGGGTCAGTAAGACTTTTAAAATGTTTTTGAAAGAAGTTTCTTGTGGTCACCAAGGCTGCATTAATTTGCTCCAAAAATACAGTAAAAACAATACTGAAATATTATTACCATTTAAAATAACAGTTTTCTATTTTAATAAATTTTAAATTACATCTATTTATGTGATAGCAAAACTGATTTTTCAGCAGCCATTACTCCAGTCTTCAGTGTCACATGATTCTTCAGAAACCATTTTATTTTATTTTGATTTTGATTTGGTGTTTTAAGAAAGCATGATTTATTTTTGAAAACTGTTATGCTGCCTAATATGTATCTGAAAACTGTGATCCTTTTTTCAGGATCCTTTCATGAATAGAAAAGTTCAAAAGAATGGCTTTTATTTGAAATGGAAATCTTTTGTAACATTATCAATGTCTTTACTGTCACCTTTGCTCAATTTACTGCATCATTGCTGAATAAATCCAAATTAACAAAATAATTTTGTTTAAAAAAAAATCTTACAGACCTCAAACTTGAACTGAATGGTACAAAGTTACCAAGTTCTATACATTCTCCACCACTTCAATATGTTAAATATTTCTACCAATAATAGTAAGGTACTCGCTGCTCTTTTAACACATTTTACTGTGTTACACATTCAGTTCCCTTTTCCCCTCAAAATCAATGCTGAATATGTAAAAAAAGACCACAGATTTTCTCTGGGGCAGATTATAAGCAGTAATGGCCACTATATGTAAATGAGGACACTCACACACGCAGTCTCCTGTCTGCCACTCCAGACACTGGCCGTAGGGAAAGGAGATGACGTAGGCATTGGAGTCCACGCAGCGTTTGGTGCTTCCACACCACATGCACTCCATGGCCTGGCTGGTGCAGTTCTCACAAGAGGTGCGCAGAGAGCAGGGCGTCTTACACGGGCGGGCGTTCTGGTTCGGGCTCACTGCAAGGGAGGAAATATGTATGAGATTACTGAAAAGGGAATGTGTATGTATCTTATTGGCTTATTTCCAAGCTTTCACTAAGAATAAAAGGGAAACAGAGACTCACCGACTGGTTTCTCACAGATGAGGCCGTCTGTGTTGGCGGTGCAGGGATTCGCCCTGAGGCCAGAGACCTGAGCTCTCTCCAGGTAAGCACTTGAATGGAGACATGTCCTCCCAGCCCGATTTTTATTACGATTAATCGATTTGACAGCACTAATTAAAAGATAAAACAGTTGTTATACACTATAAAAAATAATTAACAATATTATTGTTTTTATTAAGCAACAAATTAAGAGAAAATTTGGACACACTTGACTGAATTAATTAATGTTTCTCATGATCTCAAAAAAACATCTTATTTAAAGACTTATTGTTAAATGTCAGAAACTAGGATTGCCTATGCATTAATTTCTTTATACAACTAAAACTTAAAAATGGTTGAGTTGGATAAGATAGTGAAGAAAAATCAGCCAAAAAGTAGCCAGCATACATTTTACAATCCTTAAAAACTGTTTAAAATCATTCCATTTGGACGTTGGTTGAGATAATGAAGACCAAAGAGTTGGCTACTTTGAAGAGGCTAAAATATTTTGCTTGACATTTTTGGTCAAAACATAATTATCCAATTTGTGGATAAGTTCTAATGACTTTACTACTATTCTAAAATGTGGAAAATACTTCTTACTGGTAGTGCAAATATGAGCAGACACAAACCTTCCCCTTCTGCTGGTACTTCTGCAGTTCCTCCAGCACATAGTCCACCTGCTTGGCTGTGGTAAGGGAGGCGATGTTTCCCTCCAGGTTCTTGCAGTAGTGCTGAGCATTGTCATAGCTCTCTCTGCTGGAGTTGATCTGCAGACAGGCCTCCCCAACATTGCTCCAGCTGTCTCCACACAGCTGGGCTACAGAGAGGTCATGAGATGTAGAGGAATTAGGAGCTTTTAACTCAAGCCTCATATTTTTCCCATTTCTCGTTTGATCTCTGTTCTTCAGAGACAGCAGGAGAGCTCTTAACATAATGAAAATTCCTCTTCAGAACCAAGTGAAGCTTTAAAAGGGCCAATAGCTAATTTAAGCAAAGTGGCCGGTTAAAGAAATTTCCACAGTGGAAAATGCCAAGCACAATCAGACTGAATCATTTTGCAAATTTACAATTTAAAGAAGACAAAAGGTGTCATGAATCCCAGGTTTCTTAGGTCAAAATTTACAAAGAGCACAGACACCCACAAATTCATGTACAACACAAATTAAATAAGCTCTTTAGGTCATTTTACATATCAGAGATAGTGGTGGAAAAAGAGGGGGGTGTCTGTTTAAGTCTGCTGAACACGGGCTCCGTTCCAAAAAACTAGTGACCTTTCTGTCTAGACAACATTTTAAAGTAACATAGGAATGCTCCCGTCACAAAGGCTGTTGCAAAATGCAAGATAACTTCTTTTGGCTAATATACAAACCCAGAATGCACTGTGGCAAGCTCACGGATTTAAATTAATCTAAGATGGCAGATGCATTCAACTAATTAAAATGCACTATTTTACCAAATACATGTGTGCTACATATTTTTATATCACATCAGTAATTTAGCAGCATGGTATAAGAATAGTTTCTATAACAGTAATAGTTGGTGGAAGTGTTATTATGGATTATGGACTGGAATTTTGGCCAGAAGCAACAGTTTAAAGTTTATTCTGTTAATGTGTGAAAAATAATGTGGGCTTGACAAGCCCATTTATGGCCATCAATCTCTGTTCACAAAATAAAATATCTCTCTTATCATCCTCTGCCATTCTTACCAGGAAGGGTGTGGCATTCCTGCTGTTGAGGATCCCATTGGCAGCTGATGTTGAGGGAGCAGCTCTTGCAGTTGGCCATCTTACTGCAAATCTGCTCATTTCTGATTGGACATTTGGTGAAATTCTTCACAGTCTAGTAAAGAAAACAAAAAGTCAAAAGAGATATCAACAAACACAGGAATACTAGTGCATACTGTGTTGTGTAACACCGGTGCCCTCTGCAGGCCAACTTACAGCAGTGCAGTTACTGAGAGCTGAGATGCATTTCTTGCTGTCGCACCACTGACATCCATTAGTGTTGGCGGTACAGCTGGTGCAGTCTGAGAAGCGGTAACATCTCTCATCCACCGTGGCTAGAGCAGAGATGGCAGAGATGAAGAGCAAAAAAGTCTAGTCCAAAGAAAAATGGCAGTCCTAAGTACTAATATCCAACAGTTTTGAGGCATACATTAATCTAGAGAGACATCTAAGCTCTTCCACAGCCAACTCTCATATCAGACCTTTAACCAAAGTAGAAGAGAAACATTTAGCACTTCAAACCCCTTCTATTCCCCATTTACTTCTAATCGCAAGACTTCAAACGGTGTGACTTATGTAGAGAATCAAAGAGGCCTCTGTTCTACGTCTCTTTCTTTTGACAATCCTTTTCTCCATAATAACAAGTGTCTCCATGTCCTTACTTCACTACATTTGTTTCCCCTTCCCTAGTCTTAAAAAGCTATATTTAACACACAACACGGCAACATTTCTTGCACAGCTACTTAATCTACAACAAACCTATCAGTTTGACTTATTCTATGAATTATGGCATCAGAAGTCATTGGGCTCACCAGGCAGCCACTGCAGAGAGGTGTTAGTGAATGGAGACATGTCCTCCCAGCCCCAGTATGACACGTTGATCTTCCTCAGGCCAACCCATGGGGACAGTTTCTGCAGGACAAACGCAATGAGTCACGCAAACAAAATTAGGAACTAAAATTTTGAACAGAGTGTGCGTCAATCATTATTATTATTAGAATGCGAGTATACACTGCCATTAAATTTTTCTAAGGAATTAATATTTTTATTCAGCAAGGATGCTTTAAGACAGCAAGACATTTGTAATGTTACAAATGATTTCTACTGTAATTAAATGCTGTTTTTTTGAACTTTCTATTCAAAGAATCATGAAAAACAAATATCACAGTTTCCACAAAAATATTAAGAAACTTATAAATATAAATATAAATATAATTAGCACTTCAAACCCCTTCTATTCCCCATTTACTTCTAATCGCAAGACTTCAAACGGTGTGACTTATGTAGAGAATCAAAGAGGCCTCTGTTCTACGTCTCTTTCTTTTGACAATCCTTTTCTCCATAATAACAAGTGTCTCCATGTCCTTACTTCACTACATTTGTTTCCCCTTCCCTAGTCTTAAAAAGCTATATTTAACACACAACACGGCAACATTTCTTGCACAGCTACTTAATCTACAACAAACCTATCAGTTTGACTTATTCTATGAATTATGGCATCAGAAATTAACTCAGAGCAATTATTGAATATTCACTTACTAAAAGGATCATTACATAACAAGATGTAGTTAAATAAGTGCATTCACCAGAATTGTAATAACGTGTAATATACGATATACAAATACATACAATTACAGTTATTATATAGTATTATTATATAGTATACAGTTATTACAGCACCTCTCCTCTCCAAAATACATAGTTAGTTATTTGCTCAAAACTATAGTTAGCACAGCAATTTTGTGAAATATTATTACAATTAAAAACAACTGTTTTTATACATTTTAATAATGTATTAAAATATGTGATTTATTTCTGTTATGCAAAAAAATAAATTTTTAGCAAGTCCAATATTATTCAGTGTCATGTAATCCTTCAGAAATCATTGTAATATGCTGATTTGGTGATTCAGAAACATTTCTTACTATTATCAATGATGAAAACCAATGTCGATTAATATTTAAAAATGTATTTACTTATTTACAAATACAAAAATAAAATAAAAATACCAAACTCTTAATACAAAAAAACTACACAATTCAGTAATAACACTGATTAAAGTTTCACCAAACTGAATATAACAAAACAGTCCTTATGTAATTTTGAATTTATTCAGTGAATGATTCAAATCAAGCCTAATCAAATTAACTGGATCATAAGAGTAATTTGTTATTGGCTACAATATTAATGTTGTACGTGTTTTGGCATTATTTCAGAGTACGTAGTCTTTTTTTATTTCATTCAGACTGCAGGTTCCTATTTTTTTTTAATTGCTGTGGCACTTGAGATTTAACAGCGGCAAACAGCGATGCAGAAAACACAGAAACACTCACACACCATAAACAAGGCCAGTGCTGCCAGGGATTATCCCAGCATGCACCTCTCCAAACCTCAGGTTTGAATTTCAAATCAAACGAAATGAAGCCAAATATTGCATTGGCTGGAGGTCCACACACTCATTCTCAAAGACTACATTTTGGCTGGTTTTGTGTGATTGGTTGTGTTCTGACAGGTGGCAAAAGATCAAACAGACTGGCAGTCCTGCAGAGCAAAGGAGGGCTGTGGGAAACTCTCCTGTGTCTGCTTCAGACAGCTTGTGCCCCCTCCATTACTCTCTCATTAACACAGCCAGTGCACAATGTAGCAGACAAACCCGAGGGCTTAGATCAGCATACACAAGAAGGGCTGATTTCTTGGCTTGGGCACAGTGGAAAATGTTTTAGCTGAGGGTGGCAGGGGAGTCTCTAAGCCTCTTCCAGGCACCTACCAGCTTTGGCAGGGCAGAAAGGAGCAGGTGTAGCACTGTTAGTGAAGCTGGGCTCCCAGGACATGCAGAAGCCCCCTTTCCAAATGCAGCGCACACCAGGGCCTGCGGCCTCACAACGCTCCTGTCCCAGGAAGGCCTCACAGCTGGGTGGCCTGTAGATTAGTACGTCATTCAGGAGGACGCTGGAGAAACCCCCAAACACATACATGGATCTAGAAGGAGAAGAAGATGGAGACTTTTAAGTATACAACAACATTTTTTGAGAGAGAGAGAGAGAGAGAGAGAGAGAGAGAGAGAGATGTGCTTGTTATGTCACAGATTGTGTGCTGTAACCACATTTAGATTTCTCACCCATTACTGGTTACTGCTGTATGTCCAAAGCGATTCACGTCTCTGTGCAAGTTTGGTTTGGGAAGGACCTTCCACTCATCACAAGCTATAAGAAAAAAAGGGGGGGGAAATAAAACAATTAAAAATAATCTGTTTAAGAATTATTTACTTATGAATCAGACATAACTATGCAACATTTAGCAAAATAAATATTTTACTGCATAGAACAACTGCAAAAATGTATGTCCCCTACGGAAATTTCCATAACTTTTTAGATTGTATTAATTTTTAATTATTAAAATTTTTATATTATTATTATTATTAAGTCTTTTTTCATACCATTTTTTTTTACCACATTGCCATTTCCAAAGTTTGAGGTCAGTAAGTTTTTTTCAGCAAGGATGCATTAAACTGATAAAAAGTGATTTTTACATAATTACAAAAAAATCTATTTCAAATAAATGCTGTTCCTTTGAATCCTGACAAAAAAAATTCCACATTGATAATACTAATAACTAAAGACTACAGTAATGGCTGCTGAAAATGCAGCTTTTCCATCACAGGAATAAACTGCATATTCAAATATATATAAATAGAAAAAAAAAAGTAATTGTAATAATACTTCACAATATTATTTGTATTCTATTTTGATCAAATAAATGCAGCCTTGGTGAGCATAAGAAATGTATTACAAAAACATTTAATAAATATTACCAACCTCAAACTTTTTAATGGTAGTGTATATCAAACATGCAGTACAGTAGCACCACAAACCAATGTCATAGGCGAGGAAGTCAGCAGAGAAGCATTTGGCTCCATTGCTAAGAGAGGTGTCATTATGGGTATTTCCTCCAAAGATGAGCAGAGTTCCTCCCAGCAGCACAGACGAATGCAGGTAACGTGGGTAACCGCTTTCTCTAAGAATCGTCCTGCAACACACAACAAACATCATCAAACTGTTGCTCCAAATCTGAAATTCACGGTTCCTCTAAAATGAACAAATTTACAACGTTTTTTTTGTCTTGAATACGTCTGTGTGCTCTTACCATGTGCGGGTCTCAACCTCATAGCGGTAAAGATCATCCACCAGGCCGTATTTGTTTGCTGGAAGAGATTTGTAGCCCCCGTGGACGTACACGCTCTTGCTGCCGCTGTCATACACGCTGCTGTGGCCGTACCCACCCTGAGCGATCGCTCCTCTGGTCTCTGGCACCAGCCATGTGTTTGTCCCTGTGTACAGAAACAAAATCATTTACTTTAAAATTAACAAAAAAAGTGCACCTTTAAGTTTAATATTTTCTTTAATTATAAAACCTGCTTTGCCTCTCAATAACCAGTCTGTGAGAATTTGACTTGATGTTTCAGTATAATGAGTGGAATAACAATGACTTACCTCATTCCAATGAGATCTGGTTTGTACTTTGAGTTCACAACACTTGTAAGATCATTTGAGAACATAAAGATTATGCCCTGATCCAGGAGTTTAACAGGATTAAAAAAAGGTACAGATTATCCAAAAGCTTCAGCCTAGACACAGAGCCTCTGGATATATTATCTGTTCACTGCTCTTTGCAAAGAACCACAGCTCCATCTACTGGACCGCTGGGGTAAAATTAAAAATCACATCTGTTTCAACTACTGCAGATCTACTTGTTTTACAGCTGCTCTCAAAAGTTTCCTATAGTCTTTAAATGACAACAAAATGTACAACCAGTGTTGTTACTGTTAACTAAAACCATTAAAACATTTTATTACTTCGTTTTTATATAACAATTTTTAAATGTTTTATTAACTACTAATTAACTATTGAAATAAAGCAGAAATTAAATATAAATATGAAATGGAAACGTAAATAAAAAAAAATGCACCAAAATATAAAATTAATTAAAGTGAAATAGAAAAAAAACTATCTGAAACTAATACAAATAACAAAAACACATAAAATTAATAATCAAAATGAAAATTCAATTCATTTTTGGGTACTTAGAGAACTTTTCAATCCCCAATCAAATACACTACTCAGTCACTCACTGATGTTGTACTCCTGAACATTACTGATGTAGCTGTAGATGGAGGAGTAGCCGAAGATGACAACCATCACCACATCACCGTTATCCAGCTCTACTATATGGGCAGAGTGGCCTTCCACAGCGTAGACCAGGCCATGGGCTGGCACACTGGGGGACTTCTGCGACCACGTCATTTTGGGTATGTTAAACACCCACAGTTCATCTGTTACGTTACTGGCACCCATCTCCAACTTGCCTCCAAACATGTAGATGTCACTCTGAAAGAAGCAAAAATGATTTAATAACATGTTTCAAGACAGTTTCTTAGGAATCTACCGATCAATATTCCAAACTGAGATTTGCCAAAATTAACATGCCAGTGCATGTGATTGAGGGCCAGATTTACTAAACAAGGTAAATTAGCATGAAAGCGCAATACCATAAAAGCACAGATGGGAGTGGAAAGTTCCGCAGTTGATCTACTGACAATGCACACATTAAAGAACACAGACACAGCAAGATAATGATGCAATGCAATCAACCACACACACATTATGAATGTGTTCCCTGTTATTTTTGATCAATAAATCAAATCAAGAAATTTGCAGGCTGTATTTAATTATTTAAGTATTTGTAGAAACGCTAATGCAAAGACCATAAACTCCAGGTCAGCTAAAACATCTCTACAGATGATTACATCCATAAACTGTGGAGAAAGCTGTTTTTACTTTAATTATTGCAGAGAAGAGAGAAGAATAACTGCTGTTGCAGGATACTCTTGCTCAGATGATCAAAGCGGCATACACAGACCAAAAGCTAGAACATGTAATCAGCTAAATAGCCTTGTTCACTCATTCAGACACTGATTACAGCTATTTAGCTTTAAGACAAATAAAAAATATTCTTTCTAAATGTTTTTGTAACATTTCAACTGTGGTGTTACCCAATATAGTGCCAAGGAGTGTCCGTATCTCGGCAGGGGTCCGCTACTGATGGGCACAGTGTTCCAGATGCCACTTTCCAGATTATAACTGCAAAGAAAAAAAGTAGTTGTCTCAAAGTTCATTTCCATAACTAAAGTGGAAAAAAAACATTGTTCAGACTGAGATGGCTTCAGAATTACACAAATTATCCAATATTCCAGTAATTAGTACTTTCTCCGAGATGTTACATTTCGAGTTTTGACTGAAATGTCAAATCCACAACGTCGGAATTGCTCCCTCCACAAAGAGCTCCCTCAGAGAACATTTAGGCTCACAGTTTCTACCCTCAAACTGTCAAATTAATCAAACTCTACTCCTACCACAGCTCACACTGATTTATTATTAGTATTAGTATTATTCCTGCTGTTCTACAGTTTCATTTTGGATTACTGTCACATACGCGCATATGCAAATAAGCCTTTTGGTTATGCTGTACACAGCTCTCTGAATTATCACTTACTTTAGAACCATCTGAAAGTTGCTGTAGTTAAAGATGTAGCCACCAACAACCCACATGACCTTTTCCTGCACCACCGCCTTATGAGATGCTCTTCCCAGCGATGCTCCAAAAGGCTTCACTGTGGGCATGATCCAGTAAGACTCAGTGGAGGGCACTGTTAATGAGCAGTCTGGACCTGAGAGAGAGAGAGAAATAGAGAGAGAGAGAGAGAGAGAGAGAGAGAATACATTGTAATAATTGTCATACCAATAAAGCACATAGTGAATTGAATTGATAGAGAAAGAAACAGAGAGTTTATATTTGCCATAAAATATTTACTTGAAGTACCCATGAGATTTTTAAGTTAATATTTCAATAATTTAAACAACACATTCGCATGTTTATGGTTCTCTAATATTGGTTAATGGTCACATGACATACAAGCAGATAAAATATAATGCTTTATTTTGACTTTGTAGCTGGACTTTAAAGTGGATTCACACTTATTTTTAGTTGTGATAGTGTGCCAAAAACAATAATATGAATGAATTAAAATATGAATAAAATGTATAAGTGCACTGTAAAATAAACCTGAAATAAAAATTAGTATTTGATTATAGTAATCATTTTATTTTACATTACACATTACAACACTAATTTTCATGTTTTAAATTCTTCACTTTCAAACTGATAAGCTTTTTAGCATTTCAAATCCTTTCTCTCTTTTTTTTTTTTTTTGTGAAATAATGGTGAAATTCTATAAACATGTTATCACTTTATGAAATGTTGGAAATTGTGCAAATCTGTAAATAAAAATAAACTTGAGGCCAAAAGATTGGAATAATTAAGAATTTTTTTATTTATTTTTTTCACCAAGGCTGCAATTATTTGCACAAAACATAGTAAAAGACATAATATTGTGTAATATTACAAATCAAAATAACGGTTTTCTATTGGAATATATTTTATAAATGTAACATTTTCCTGTGATGGCATGGCTAAATTTTTAGCAGTCATTACTTAAGTTATCAGTGTCACATGATCCTTCAAAAACCATACTAATATGTTCACAGTATCACTGTTTTTACAAATAAATGCAGCTTCTGTGAACATGAGAGGCGTCTTTCAAAAATACTTCAAAATCTTAATTACTCCAAACTTTTGGCCAACAATGTGAACCCCTTGAATCGCTGATCTAAGGTAATATCTGTCTTATTATATTTACTATTTAAAAACATATCACTTAAACAGGTTGGTTCTAACAGCTTTTTAGACATTACTATGACCACTCACACTTTCCCTAACTTGCTATTTCCTGTGTCTCCTCACATGAGGCTTAGTGAGAAGCTGGCCAGAAAGGCTCATTAAATTAGCTTCAAAGCATCCTGATGTCAATCCTCCATCAGGTTTTTGCTTTGACATTTTGTGACACTGTGGCAGTGTCTGAAGAGGTTGCTGCAGTGATGCAGAGGTGACAGATGCACTATTAGAGAATCAACACCAGGGGGAGACAACCCACATGACAACAAATCTACCTGAGAAGCAATGCACTTTTTCAGCATCCTGTAACATACAGGAAAGGGGAGGAAATGAGAGCGGAAGTGAGTAGTACCTTGCCAGCTGTCATTGCACACGCACAGCTTTTCCCCAGTGAGGTCACAGTAGCCGTGATCGGGGCTGCCACAGTTGTTCCTGCAGTACGGGATGTCACAGGCCTCACCCTTCCAGTACTTATCGCATTCACAATACACACGGCTCGCTATCGAGTTCCCCGAGGTGCACTTCCCGTGGCCAGAGCAGTTATTTGGACATGAGTTGATTCTGTCGAGGGAGAGATGAAGAAAAAGGTTGCAAAAAACAAACAAGGGGAACTTTCTACTGAAAGCCTGAAATAGGCGAGGGTATAATGAGCAGGACAAAGCCTATGATTACACTGAGAACAAAACATGCACAGAGGAGATAAAATGAAGACCTCTTTGTGATTACATGTCGTAATAACACCTGGACGAACCTGCAGGCTTTTTTCAATAAAAATAGTGCTGATGCGTGTCATTAACTCACGAGTAGAAGATTTCAAATCCTGTCAGGTTGTAGGCAGCGTCGCTAAAAAAGTGCAGGAGTGCGTAGCCTGAGTTGGTCTCCACTTCAGGGACGGTCTCGTTCCCTTTCACTTCGGGGACAATGAGACCACTGTGGGACAATTACAGAAAAAAAGGCTTGTTAGGGTAAGATCTCTTGTTTTTCCATAACAGCAGTAGCTAATTCCATTTGTCCTGCAGTAAAGTGAATCTTTCCTGCGTGACTCCAGGCCAAAGGTTTTTCAAACTGGGCTCAGAGGGCCACAAGGGAGAGTTCAGGGTCCTTGGAAAATTAGAATTTTTGATTTTACAAAATCTATTTTTAGGTTCACGTTGACTTAAAATATTTATTAAATATGTCAAATGCAATATATATATATATACACACATATATATATACACATATATATATATATATATATATATATACACATATATATATACACATATAATAAATATACACATGTAAATACATGTAAATATTTTCAAAATATATGCTGTATGTGTGTATTTATATATTCATAATAAATATACACAACACACACACACACATATTATGTAAACAAAAATGTGTATTATATTTATTTGTATTATATTTATATATATTTATCATTAAAATGCTATTCAAATAAATCTGAAAATATATACTACTGATCAAAAGTTTGGAGTCTGTAAGATTCATTTTTGAAAATCTACACTGCACTTACTTGATCAAAAATACAGTAAAAACAGTTATCTTGTTAAATATTATTAAAATAAGTATTTTCTATTTGAATACATTTTAAAAGTAATTTATTACTTTGTTTTCAAAGCTGAATTTTCAGCAGCCATTACTTCAGTCTTCGGTGTCACATGATACTTCTGAAATCATTCTAATAGTCTGATTTGGTACCCAATTAGCATTTTTTATCATCATCAATGTTAAAGTTGAGCTGTTTAATATTTTTGTGGAAATTGCTTTTTTTTCTTTCAGTTTTTCCACAATGAACAGAATAGCATTTATTTCAAGCAGAAGTCTTTTGTAATGAATCTTTGTTGAATAACAGTATTAATTTATTTTTTAAAAATCTGACCCCAAACCTTTGAAGAGTAGTCAACATTTAACATTGCTAGTGTATGGAAAATCAGATATGCTGTCAAATTAATACAAAAGAAACTTTCCATATAACATTTTAATTACTGCCTTTTGATTTGCTCAATAACAATAACAATAAAATCCCATTATTTGCAGCATTTTTAAAAACAATGTGTGATATGGCGCCTCCGCTGTGGGCGAGATGCAGTAGTGGGGGTTGGTGATGGTGTGGGCCTCCGGAGCAGACCGAGATCCCGCAGCTCTTCGGCGTGCGCAGAGTTTAACTCTAAAAATGTGGTTCTGCCGACATCGAGCAGAAACTCACGACTGTATGCGCGCTTAGAGACAGATAGACGTGACGAATACGTACAAAAACACTGCGACTCACAAGACAAAAAACACGAAAACACCTTTCTGTCGGGAGAGAGAGAAGCCGCAGCGTGTGAACGCGCCGCCATCTTGTTACTAATAAGGAGGTAGTAAATCATGTTTGCGCGATTCATTTTAATACTCTCCTCCCATAAATTTTGCATCTGAAAGTAAAACTCCTACGAATGCATATTCAATAAGGTCAGGCACAAAAATAACTGTGTCCACGCCTTTTCAGTGCTAATCCTTCACTGCACGTCTTTAATAAATCCTGACAGTACTATTTTAACTATCTGGTCCTTAATATTTCTATCATACAGTATAAACTGGTCTTTATGCATGAAAATAATAGTAAAAATAACAGTCCCTCAAAGTGAATCACCATACTTGTGGGGGTGCTTAGCATCGGAAATTTCAAAACCCGTTCTTCTTTCAGAAAACACACTCACCTGAAGACGGCTACTAAGGGAGCATAAATCGAATCTCCGTCATAGATGTACATGTGGTCCCAGCTACATTCGGTCGCAAAATGGTTAAATCGTAACCTCAGGACTGCGTTTGGGCTGCAAAACAAAGGTGATGACATAATGCTTAAGAATGTCTTGCTGGCTGCGTAATCCATTATGAGAACATATTACAGCAGAATCATTTCTGCCAAGTCTGAAGGGTGCAAGGCGGAATGTGCTCCTCCAAGCCTTTTCTGGTAACCCAACACAGAAGAAAACACCCTTGTAAGGGCTGCTGAAGGGTATTTAAATAGGGGTTATGCAAGAGGGAAGTGTGGGCACAACAAAACTTTAATGAGAAAGAGAAAAGAGGACTTAATAACACTTACTAGCCCTCAATCAGCCAGGTGCACTTGGTTTTGTACTTGTAGTTGATGGGGCCATCTGTTAGGTACCCAGACGGCTCAGTCAACCTGAAAAAGAAGATCAGAGTTGCCATTCAGAGGACCACATCAAACCGAGCCCAAGGGACAAACAGAACAATGCTATGCGCAAAAAAAAAATGCAAAAGGCATTGCAGAGAAGTGCTGTTTCAGTACAAATAGGCACAACGATTGAACTGGTTTCTGTGGTTACTTATGGCCATATGGACACAGGCTTGTGTGGGAGCAGATCCACAATGATTCACTACTCCAAATGCGCTCATGACACAGGCCTAACCAATCAGTTTCCTCTCCTTCCGGACTGCAACAGAGCCATCGGGCCCATGGAGTGACAGCGCTTGGATCCGTATTGCATCATTACGGAACACTCAGGGCCTGTCTGTGCCACATTAACTACACCAAGCTGGCGGCATTGTTTGTCCAGACAAGCCCTATTGTTTTTAGATGCCGATTTGAAGGGATGCATCCTTATAAACAATGGCCTCAATATTCCACAGACACACTTTTAAAGGGGTGATATGATGCGATTTAAAGTTTTCCTTTCTCTTTGGAGTGTTACAAGCTGTTTGTGAATAGATAAGATCCCTAAAGTTGCAAAGACTAAAGTCTCAAACCCAAAGAGATATTCTTTATAAAAGTTAAGACTCGTCCACGCCCTCCTAAAACGCCTCGTTCAAACACGCCCCCACATGTCTACGTCACGATGTGGGAAGATTTGCATAATGCCGTAACTTTACGTAATGCCGCTACGTAAGCGTAACTTTATTGTTGCTGCCGCCGCCATGTTGTGAAGACGCTGTGATTTTCGTTGCGAAAGCGAAACTACTTTGTTTGGCCTTCCAAAAGAGGACACGACTAGAAATCAGTGGTTAAGTTGTATTTACAACACTGTTCCAGAACAAGTTCAACCCAAATATTCAGATGTGTGCAGCGCATTTTATGGACGACTGTTTCCTGATCCTGCTAGAATAGACTACAATGTCGGCTGTTCTGACTCACAGACTGGAAGTATGTTTTTTATATTTAAAGAATTTGCCACTGATGATTCAAACGCAAGTTTTAAGCAGTGTAGAGTAGCGCTTGTTGTTTGTCATTTCTCCAATCACAAATGCAGACATGGTTTTATGTTTACGCGGTGCGATGCAACGTAACGCGTAAAAAGACAGTATAAGTCATTATAACCCATAATTATGTCCCCACTGGATGCAACAAATGCCTCGTTTATAATGGGTTTTAATGTTTTTGTTTCGTCGCTCCGGGACACGGCATCACAGTATGGTAAGGGGTGTAATATTTCCGTCACACGCTTGAGGTATTCAGCCAATCACAACGCACTGGATAGCTGGCCAATCAGAGCACACCTCACTTTTCAGAATGATGAGCTTTGTAAAAATCGACGCATTTCAGAAAGGCGGGGCATAGAGGAGAAACAATAATGTACAGTATGTGGAAAATAATGTGTTTTTTTAACCTTAAACCGCATAAACATTTCATTACACCAAATAATGTTCTTTTTAGCAGCATCATATGACCCCTTTAATTGAACATGTTATTGCTGCTTGCATAGCCAAACACTCCTCAGGGCGTATTCTACAAGGAAATCAATCTAAGTGGCATTGCTAAGACCTTCTGTCCTGCTGTTCTTGAAGAGAGCAAAAAGAAGAACTGAGCTGGTGTTGCAAAAGCATCCTAGAGTGGATCAGAGGAAACCAACACATCAATATTCACAATATAAGGCTATCTAAGAAGTAGATTGGTTTGTTTCTTCATTAGAACAGATTTGGAGAAATTTAGCATTACATCACTTGCTCACCAATGGATCCTCTGCAGTGAATGGGTGCTTTCAGAATCAATGAATGTCTTGTGAAGTGAAAAGCTGCATATTTGTAAAAAAGCTTTGTACTTCTTAAGACATTAAATGATGGACTGGAATCGTGTTGTGGATTACTGTTATGTTTTTATCAGCCGTTTGGACTATCATTCTGATGGTACCCATTCACTGCAAAAGATCTATTGGTCAGCAAGTGACGTAATGCTAAATTTCTCCAAACCTGTTGTGATGAAGAAACAAACTCATCTACCACTTGGAAGGCCTGAGGGTAAGTATATTTTCAGTACGTTTTCATTTTTGAGTAAGCTATTCCTTTAAAGGTAAAGTTTGCCATTTCTGTGCTAAACAAAACAGCAAAAATGGCAACTACTTATATATGATTGTATACATGGTAATTAGCATATTCAAAATAAAATGAAAAAGACACGGACATTCATTAACTGCTAGTAGGGATGTAACGATTAACCGCGAGCCGGTTGAAAATCGATTCAAATATGTGACGATTCAAATCGGTTGAGATGCTAAACAAATCGCGATTCAGTTAGGGGTAGGAGTTTATATGAATGTATGTCTGAGGGGAACTTACTGTCTTTCGATGGTATTTTTTCTTTTCCTCTTGCCTCTGTATAATGCATATCAGGGCTCCAGACTCATTCTTCCCACTGGTCGCTCTTTTGCAACTAACTTTCTCAGCTGGTCGCACGAGCACATGATTTGGTCGCAATATTTTTTTTTTTTGCTACAACATGGGGTTATTCAATGCATGCTGATGAACTTTTATCATTGTTTATAGTTATATAGAAACAAAAGTTGTTAACATTCAACCCGTTCTTTATCATCAGTAGTATTATTTGTGATTATGAAAACAAAAATGAAAATGCTTTTCAAAAATGAAAACAAAAAGAAAAGTAAAACTAACGTGACAGTGTTTGCATGTTTTTTCCCCCCACAAGAATACCAGCATGTTCACCTTCTCTGGTTTAAG